TATGACAAATCAATCTGTTTATTCCACTCACACAGATTCGTGAAACAAGATACTCAGTTAACATGGCACTTAAAGTCCCTTTAGCCAAAAAAGAATGACACGCTCAAAGTTTTGCGGTGAAAGGTGCCAAAATATGGAACAATTTCCCAGAGCAACTCAGAAGTATAGACTCCTTAGGGACATTCAAATCAGAACTACGGAAGGCCATGACCAATGCCGTGTAGTCCCAAATGCTGATCTAAGGAGTTGTTAATTGGTTGCCAATGTTCATTCGAGCCGGATCGGGAATTTCCCCGTGTTCTTTTTCCCATAGGTGTTTTGCGGGGTTTTCGCCCATCCCGTGATCAGTATTTAATTAATGCCTTGATTATTTAAATGTTCACGTGTGTGATATTTTAGTGGTCTGTATTTGTAAATATTAATGTTTGTCGTATTTGTCAAATTTACTTTTCGTCGTGAGTTTCTAACAATCTTATTATTTTGTAATGATCGCAGGGCTCCGATGGAAACCAGTTTGTAACTGTTTGGGCATACCCTGGGTAAAGAAATGGAATAAAAAAATAAATAAATATTTCAAGTGGATCACATAACCTCGCAGCGACGTCAACTGCTGTGGACATTGAATTTCAATTTCAATAAACAAATTGCAGTAGACGAGATAGGCAGTGATGCAGGATCTATTATGAATATGCTTTCTTCTGATTCGGCTCGAAACACGCATTGAATAAACCGATGTAGTAAGCCCTGCCTACTGCGAACGAGCTCTTCTCCAAGGCCACACTGCGGTTCCAGCCGCGCGCATCAACGCGTGTGCCCATGTCGGACTCTCTGTGCACGCATGTGTACATGAATCAAGGCTGTGATTGGTTAGAACACAAATGGGTGGAGCTTAATGAATCGATCTATCAGGCGCCAGCATGGAGGTGAAATCTGCCTAGGCGCATGCGTCGTTGCTTAGTTTGACTTTCTTACCGACAGGCGACCGTTTTCTTTAGTTTTTACGGTACTGTGTCGTTTATTTCGAACTGTGGAATATCATACACCTTTACAGTCACACTACAGTAAAATTTACGGATTTTTTTACAGTGTATACACAAACAGGATTATCAAAAGCTGTCGATACAAGTTAATGCTTTCAATTGATCTCTTCGTTTTCTGTCAAAACGAGTAGAACTGTATACAATTGGATCTCTTGTTAATATTTTCATCTTTGTCGTTGATATATTTTGCAGCATTATTCTTGAGGTCACGGGAAATACAATTCACCCGCAAAACTAATTTATTTGCAAAAGTTTTAACTCTAAAAGAGCTTGGGCCAAATTACGATATCATCACAGCGAATTTTTTTCAAGAGCTAAACTTTAAGGAGTGTTTCTAATAACTTTCTAAAGTTATTTGACACCAGTTTTGTGAAAAATCAAACATATTTTACTCGTGCGGTGCAAATTTTCTTGAGACAGGTCAAGCAAAAATGTACATTAATAATACTGTCCTCCAAGCCCCAAGCCCCAAAGCCAGCCCACGAGCTCATCCTCAGTGGCCCTCAGATTTCCGCAGACCATAAAAACAAAACTATGGGCCAGACTGAGTTGACACTCCACAATTGTACTGCTACGGGTGTATCTTTACATAATTTATATACCATCTATAAAATGAAGAACAATGGGCACAGGACACTTGAGACCCGGAGGGTAGAATCCGTCCCCACCCCTGCCTAGATGTCAGTGAGACCGTCCAAAATTAAAATCCAGCTCTTTTAGTGTTAAAGTGATTGATAGAAGATGATTTCGATCTTTGTAAAACGCCGTTCGGCAACAGCTTAGATGACTTTAATTTGAATAGACCCGTTTTGACAAAACTTTGAAATTGAAAGGTAAATGGGACCTGAAATTCGTCTTGCATGATGAACCAGATGAATTGGAGTGAAAATGTCTAAAAGCCAGGGAAACCTGAAGTTTTTATTGTGGAGTGTTTCGACAGCTTCCAGGTTATTTCCCTTTGAGAATAATCCTGTTTTTTTTCAACTGTTTGCCGAAAATACGAAAAATTTACAATGGCAAATTGTACAAACAAGGCTTTGCAGCTCCATGGCTCTTGTTTGACCTAACACGTACAGATTGGGTAGAGACTGAGTTATGAATGCATGCGCAGAATGGAAAGACGCTGGTACTTATCATCAACGTCAGATGCATAAAACAGGAGCTACCCGCATTTGGGGGCCCCTGGAAATACTCAGCATTTACAGTGGTTTTTTGCTGATCTCAGCTCAACTCCTGATAACTAGCCAAGCCCGCGTCTTAAAATTAAATTCTTCATGAGAGTGTGCTCGAGGCTTGTTATCATAATCAAATCTAAATTGAAATATTCACTCACCGACAAAACGAGTCAACCTGCGGGGATTGTTCATTTCAAAATTTAGGTACCTGGGAGAAAGGATTCGAAAACTTTTGAAGAATTGTAGGTCTGCCAGTCGCCAATGTCACATGACCAAAACGGGAGGAATCCCTCCCGTTCCGAAAAGAGCAATTTTCATTCATTTTGGGATTCTGTCCTCGTCAATAATCATAAATTGTTGCCGTTCTTAACAAACATTTACTCACATAGCCATAAAGAACGATTGAAAGGCAAGCATGCCTGGTTAAGATAATACTAAGGCATCAAAAGTGTAACAGTTCCTGCATAATTTCCACCTTTCTTTTTATTTGAAAACCAAAAAACAAAAACAAACAATCTTTACAATTTTAGACTAACCTCTCTAGCAATGACCCGTGTCTTTTAGACATAGGCCTCTACTTTTATCATTAAGCATGAAGTGATACACACGTGGCTGACGTGATAGTTACTGCATTACAATAAAGAAACAGGAATGGCCAATTCAATTGAAAGAAAGTCGATAAAAGACAATTTGGGCACTTCACAATTTCCGAACGCGCGTTTGGTTGACAGATTTCTTGCACTGTGATTGGCCAACGCGCTGTAAACTCTTGCAGGTGCACTATTGTGAAACGCCCGTATTGAAAAATGTCTTTTCATGAAGGGTCCGTCGGTATCATATTGGTCGGTTACCGATATAAATCGATAATCGATATAGGCATACATGTGTAGGAATCCATCGATATATTCAATATATCCAGTTTTCCCCGTGTACAGTAAACTCTCGTTGACTCAAACTCGGATATAAACTCAGATCTCAGTTTTCCCCGATGAGATTAAACAACTCTGTAACTTGAAGGAACCACGAGCATCCGTTTGACCAAAACGAAAAAAACCCTTTTTCGTCAGTACTCTCCAACGCACTTTGTCTTTTGACGCAGCGACACAGGCTGCTCTTCACACTGTACACTAGCATTGTAATTGGACAAGTCGCCTGATCGTCTACTGCTGTCCAGCAATAGGGTTTTTTTTTGTGATGACCACACAGGAAAACTGGCTGTCGAATTAGACTCATCGCTGTCGCCGGTTGCAGATGCAATCTGCAGTTCGGGAGAGGCAGGTCACGCTCATACCGATGCAAAACGACAAAAAATTATACAACCTGTTTGACTCTTTCACTGTAATGAGTAAATAGCTTCAGAAAGGACAGATGTAACAATTACAAAAAAGTCATTCAGACTGAAAAATAAACTATAACTGTACAATTACTCAAAAAAGTCTATTTCAACATTTCGACAGGCAAATGAGGCCGCGACTTCAAGCGCACGGCAGAAACAATGGTTCCAACTGTCATGAAAAATTCTGGAAAAGTCATCAAACTTTGTTTTGAGTTTCCTAAGCGGCTAAAGATAACACGCAGACATGTGAATATTCGTTGCCATGAAAAGTTGGCTTTCATAAGCCAACAGGAATATTCATTACGCACTGTGCGCGTCCATGTCTGGGACTTTTCAACCCGTGAGAAAATTTAATTTTGCTCTTCCAGGGCCCCTGAGAGAGCAGTTCTTCCATAACTGATGGGGCTACCCTGGTAAAATAAAATGAAATAAATAAATAAATAAGGTGCAAAGATTTGCTTCCGGTGATTCTTGGGTGGCGATGCCTTGACCTTAATGGTGAAATGGGAAAACAGTCAGACTTTGGCAGGTGCTTTTGATTTTGCGACCATTTTGTATTTACACAGACGCGCCTGCTTGCAGATCCATTCTGCTCACATCACCAATAATTTACAAACCACATTAACACAAACACCCCTACTGGAGATAAATTTTGTCAATGATCTGAAGTGCTTTCCACATGATTTCGAGATTTTCCCTAATGATAAACAATAAGATGTCAGG